ACCGATCCCCCCACCCCTCGCCTCCTGTCAGACCTCAAATTACCGACCTGTATTTGCTGTTGTAAATCTATTTTGTCTTTTACATAAGTGTTTTTACGCCTCCCCATCGACGCAATTAAGATAACTAAGATAATTGTGGAGGTAGGCTTCTGAACTTGCCTGTCAGGACTAACATGGGCTGAAAGGGGATAGATACACACCCTAACAGCAACCCCCCCCCCCCAAAAAAAAAAAAAAAAAAAAAACACACAAAAAAACACAAAAACAAAACCGCAATACTCCAAACAAAAAATGTCTCCCTACTCAAAGATCGAACTCGGTGTCTCTGCGTGTGTCAGCAAAGCGCCTGACCGCTACACCACAGACCATGTTGCTCCATATACCTAGCTAACCCCACCCCTCCCCCAACACACACGCACACAAATCAAACCTCCAAAAACCAAACACACAGACATAATAAAACACGAAACAACCCAGAAACAACAACAACAACAACAACAACAACAACAACAACAACCACCACGATAACAACAGCACATACGCCAGCAGTAAGCTCGAACGAAACATCTCAACATCTCTGTTCCCAGACTGCATGAAGCCCACAAAGAGGTACCTTGTTGAGCCGTCACCGATGAACATTTTCAAGCCTTATAGTTTACAGGCCGTCGGAAAAGACAGACCTCTTTCGACCAGTGCTGCCTGGTGAGCAACCTAACTCAAAACTCAATCTTATAGACCAAACTGCCTCGGCACAAACCTACAATTATAGCTGACGGCTCCACAAATCTTTAGCTAGCTGCATAATATACCACTCAAGGTAAGCAAGGGGTAAGGCAGACAGCAAAATGCCCTTAAGGGTAAGCAATTAATTATATATTTCCTCGTACATTGATAGGTATTTCTGACAACAGTAGAAGGCTGTAGTTCGGGATGTCCAAGCACCCGCCAAACACCCATCACTTGAACTAGGCCAGAGTCTTATGCTAAGCTCTATATTCGAGACTTTAGATTGAAGTGCCCGGACGTAAGCTTTAGGCTGGCGTAGTCTAGACATGCTAGTCCGGACGTAAGCTTTAGGCTGGAGGAGTAATTTAGACGTACTAGTCCTAACGAAGGTCTAATCTTTAAATAGAAGACAGACAAACAAAAAGAAAAAAAAAGAAAAAACAAAACAAAAAGAAAAACTCACACCAGCAAAACAAAAAGGGTCTCCAGCAACCACAAGACGGTTAAAAAATAAAACAAAACAACAACAACAACAACAACAACAACAAAACCAATGCATCGAAATTATACACAATAACCAAACACATCCATAAACACATATAAAATAGTCTTAGTCATGAAAAACGCTTACAATGTACAAAATAACATCATATCATCACGGACGTACACTTGTTGTTGTTGTTAGGACAATATTCAATGGACACGACATGCGTCCGTACATGCATTCACAACATCCTTTCCAGACACCTTCTTGGGATTGTCTTATACAACAGAAAGATCAGGTGCAGTTAACAGAAATATTGTTGTTAAAAAAAGAATGGAAGGGAAACAAGCCGAAAGTGCAAAAAGTCTTGAATATCGTAGCCATGCAATAAATACAACTCATGAAATCTTTTTTAAAAAATAAACAAAATGAACACACCACTCCTCTGTCAAAGCATGGTTTAACAATAAAACATCGAGGTGTTTTACAAATTTCTTGACATGATTAAGATCGTTTAAGAGGTAGGCTGCATTGAACTTGAGAGTCACAGCCAACCAAAACTACTTTGTCCAATAATTCACGACCCAGTGTTCAAAATGAAATAAAAAAATAAACCGTTCATTGAGAAGACTCTAATACTATTATAACACATGAACAATCTAAAATCTATTCGAGGTGTATACTGTGATGCTTAATAAGGCTATGTGACTTTAAAAAGACCGAGATCTATTCTTGTCGAAACATTAAAAAATTTTAAAAATAAAATGTGATCTCACGCCCTCATCGACACAAATTAGATCATTTCGGAGGCGGGCTTCGACCCTGGCCAACCCGGCCTGAGAGGGATACAACATTCCAGCAGAAAGAGCGAGATACTCGATTAAAAGAAAGCAATTTGTAAAAGCCTCCCCACTTGGGAATCGAACTCGGGTCTCTTGCTCGCAAGAGAGAGACATGCCTATATACCGCTACACAACAGACGTTAGTCCTCTTGTTTCAATAACAGTAATGCACCATAACACACAAACTTCACAGAATAAATTAAATGACAAAAGGGATCCGGTCATTACAAGCAGCTTCCATACAACAAACGATGATGCGGCACCTCCGGTTTGAAAGATTGTGAACGTTTCTACACACACATTGACACAATGTCGATCATTTAGAAAACATGCTGCCCCAACCTTGTCGGTCAGATATAGACCGAGATACTCGATTTAAAAAAAAAAAAAAAAAAGCTTCCCCACCCGGGTATCGAACTGATGTGCTCAGTAGCCAGATACGGCCAAGAACCTTACTGCAGTTTTAGAAAATCTTGAGTTGGTGAAAGATTTGTAAACTATCTGAACAGACAGAAGACCGAAGTTGGTGGTAAACAATGTGAGAGACTGAAATACAGACAGATAAGTCGGTGCAAGAAAGGATAATGAATAAAAGACAGATCGTTGCAAAAAGTGAGAGCGACTGAAAGATAGACAGATAGAATCAGATATTAGTAGGTGCAAAAAATGAGAGTGATGGAAAGATAAAACGAGTACGTTAAATATAGGTCATTCAGTAGAAAATAATCATGAGAGGAAACAGAAAACATTATGAGCAGTGTTGTGTGAGTGAGTGCACACACGAAGGTCATATGTAGGGTGGGG